GTATTTTGACCAAAGTTTGTCGGTTTCGGTTTGAAAACTTATAACATGAGGTAATAAGGGACAATTTGTCACACCTGTAACGCAAAATTTCCCATTTTTCAAGGAAAGAAAAAAAGATAATTGAAAACAGATCATCAGCTGTTGAAGCAAATACCCTTGGCTTCTTTGTATAATTTATTCAGATTTTTACAGTCTTCAAATTCGCTGAGTTTCCAGTTTACACTCGCTGAGGCAAAAGTCACTTCCAAAATCGGTCACACCCGTTTAACGGAGCCTTTCAATTTTTTCTGAGGACTAGAACAAGGTAAAAACAATTTCTGATATACTGTGATGATCTATAACAAAACTTCTTCCTGCTACCGCAGATAATTTCTTAATTAAACCCCAAGAGAGTGTCCAAATTCTTGTTTAAAGTTAAATTGTTGTCACACCCGTAACAATGCATGGAATGACCCTAGAATCATTGTACCTCTGAAAACAGAAGGTAAGATTTTTGAAACAGAAATACTAAAATATTCATCCTTTAGACAATCAGGGAGATCCTAACCCAAATAATGACGTAATTTTCTCTTTTCGCCCAAATTAATGATGTTATTTTCTTTGTTCAAATAAATTAATTTACATTTAACGTTCCGAAAGCAATATTTNCTAACCCAAATAATGACGTAATTTTCTCTTTTCGCCCAAATTAATGATGTTATTTTCTTTGTTCAAATAAATTAATTTACATTTAACGTTCCGAAAGCAATATTTTCTCCAAAATTTAGCAAAAAATAACATTTTATACTCAAAAAAAAAAAAAAAAAAAATAGCAATGACATGAAAGTAGTATCGTACACATCCAACATTTCAGTTATTTGGCACGCTTTTCTAACACCTTCATGTTGGATCTATCATCTTGTTTTTCTTCTTTAGAAAATAAAATAAAATAAGTTACACTGTCATCAAGAGATTAATTCATAAAAGAACACGTCGTAGTTATGTTTTCTAATTTTTCTCCTTTTGGTAATTTTGGTTTTTATTATTTGAAAGTTCAACTGTGATCAGCATGTATAAAATATATAAGAAGAAATTTGTTGGTTCGACTTTACATCATAACATTGACCCTTCAATTTTGAAGACCGCAACGATATGCAACACGCAAGAATAGTTGTATGAACCCGGCGTTATGAAGGGGCATTGTTTACCTACTTTAAATAAAAAGGATCTAAGTTTTGTGGCCAATTTTGGAAAGTGGGTGTAAGAATGAGAGATAAACAAGCAGCTAGTGGAGCTCAAAAACATTCTTAACTCCATTTGTTCGAAAATATGGGTTGGTTCCTATCCGATAAACTCGGTCCAGTCTCGTTACTTTTCAACAGTTTTGAAATAAGAATCGAAATCGGATCCTTACCTGATTGGTTGCTACAGAGGTTACAGGGAGGACGAATCCCAAGAGGAGGAGAGGGAACCTTGCGAGGGCGTACATTGGGAGATTGATTTTTGAAATTCTTGAGGAAAATCCACTTAAGAAAACGGGAAGGTTCCACGACGCGGAGTTGTCGTCGGCGAGTTGTGGACAGAAGATACAAATTCGCACGAACGTCAAGATAACTCTGGATACACAACACGCAATGGATAAACCCGTCCGTGCAAACACCCCCCCTTTCCCTCCCATTTCAAACCCCCTACAACCATATATCCCTCTCCCTCCCTCTCCCTCTCCCTGCCTCTCCCTGCCTCCCCCTCTCAACAGGTCCCCCCGTCGAATTGGTCCAGCCACGGCAATGCTGCGTCGGCGAAGATAAATATTAACACGGGAAGCGTGGTCATTCCTATCTAATTCTATTAATATCTAAAGTCATAAAAGGCTGTAGTCAGTCCAAGTAGCAGCTCGATTGTTGAATCGACATCAAGCGACCATGGTCGAAAAAAAGCATTGCTAAGATGGGATATACCGATCAGGATCATTTGATAAACGATTCAACAATCGACCAACGATATCTCGTTTTCGGCCCCCCCCCCATAAAAGCGAGGTCGACACAAAACGCGATAAGTTTCCAAGAAGTCCGAGGCAGCATCCCGACCGGCAACAGGACGTCTCAGCAACGTTGCCAAAACGTCGCCAAAAACTTCGTAACGTGGCACCAACATCGCAGATACCATAATTTTGAGAAAGTGCACGGTGTTCCTGCCGAGAAAAAAAAACATAAGCAAAGGGTTTTTTCCAACGTAAATCTTTGGAGAGCGTTTACCGTACGAACCTTCTGATTTTTATCAGGAACTAGCGACCCGTACGTGCTTCGCACGTATGAAACATACAATCAGAGAAAACAGAAT